TTTATTTATTGAGTGTGTGTGGCCAGCTCAGCCCACAAGGGGGCGGTGCTGGCTGGCATGTGGTGCTGGGGGATTGAACCGCGGTCCCTGTGCTTTGCTTAGCTTAGCTTGTTCTAAGTTGGTGCTTTAGACCACTGAGCCATCTCACCAGCCCCTAGAATCTTAATTTTGTATATACATTTAAATATATGTAGTTCTATGTTTACTCAAGGTCACACAGCAAGTAGTTTGGACCAGGTGTTTGAGGATTTTGTTTTGCACTGGGCATTGACCCAGGGAGTGCTAGGATATGTATCCCTAGCACTTTTTAAAATTTTATTTTGAGACAGTCTTGCTAAGTTAAGTTTTATAGGCTGGTCTTGTATTTCTTCTGCCTCAGCTTGATTGGGGGTTATTGGCATGTGCTGCCATGCCTGGCTGAAGCAGGTTTTGAATAAAATATTTGAATCGATGCTGGATTATTTCAGGGTCCTTGCTCTGAAATACTGTGAAGTCTAGCCTCTCCTGCGGAAAGAGATTCCCCTGAAGACGTAAGTGGGATGGGTCAAGGGTAGTGCTACGGGATCAGCCTGGACTAGGAGGAGGATCAGCTCATTTTGGGGAGGAAAAGTGAGGAAGAGTATGCTAGGGCTGGTTCGTAGGAGATTACTTCTGTTGAACCTAGTCTTAGTGAAAGTGGTGAAATTATTGACAGATGTGAATGGTTAAATGAGATACTGGTATGTGAAGAAATGCTTTGTAAGCAGTATGAAATCTGTAGTCTTAGCTGTCATGGGATTATTATATTTCTCTTTTTTCCACCCCCTTTTTGTGGGTACTGGGAACCAAACTCAGGACCTTGTAACTTGCCAGGCAGGCACTTGTGCCACTGTGCTATCTCTCCAGCCCCTATATTTCATTTTTGAGGCTTTGTTCTGCTGGCATCCAGCCTTATGGTGATGTCCACACTCTACTCCCACTCATCTGTCCTCTCATAACTATAATCAAGTTCAAAAGTTCAGGTATTCTTAATTGTGTCTGATTTTTACATTTGTGTGACTTTAAGCCACCGAGAGACTGAATTTTCATGTATTTCTCTGCTTAGGGTTGAAGACAGGTAGAAAATCTACAGTAGTCAATTCTGTATTCTTAACCACTGTAACCAGACTCTGTGGTTGGTTGGTTCAGGGTTTCACTATTCAGTTCAATCTGTCCTTAACTTTCAGTGTAACTTGGGCTGGCCTTGAGCTCCGGGCCATCTCCTACCTCAGCCTCCTGAGTGCTGGGATTACAGGCATGTGCAATCATGCCCTGCAAAATTTGTATACTTATTGTTGATAACTAGTGATTTTGTTAGTAGTTAGAAGCTTAAGCAAATATTAATACAAGGCTTTCATTTAGAATGAATTTCATTTATGAACACAAGGGGGCGCTGCTTATCTAGTAATGACCAGTTTGAAACGGTTAACCGTCTTTAAATTTCAGAAGAGAGTAAAGCATCTGTATTAGGCAAGGCACCATAGGAACAGAAATACAATTTGATTGTGGTATTTTTAAAAATTTATTTGGTACAATGTCTCGCTATGCAGTTCAGGCTCCTTGTAGTGATTTCCCGTCTCAGCCTCCCCAGCTGAATTACAAATGTACACCACCATGCCCACTTCCCTGCTGGCATGAGTTTGGGGTTGACCTGGAATGCGGTATTAGGGATTAAACTCAGGTCCTTGTGCTAGCCACACAGGCGCTTAGACTGCTGAGCTATCTCCCCAGCCCTTGGTGATACTTTATTTTTATTTTTATTTTTATTTTTTTTTTGCGGAACCGGGGATTGAACTCAGATCCTTGCGTCCCTTGGTGATACTTTAGATATCCTTTAAAATAGGAAATTGTGGGGCCGGGGAGTTGGCTCAGTAGGATAAGCAATTGACTGGCAAACGCAAGGATTTGAGTTCAATCCCCAGTTCTGCAAAAAAACAAACAAACAAACAAAAAACAGGAAATTGCTTGTCTTTGAAATTTATTTTCCAGAAAAAAATCAAGAGTAAAGAAAACATTGTTCTTTCCTAGGTATCTCCAGATGACCCTGGAGCTCAGTTCCTGATTCGGATTGGATCCATTGGCCGAAATAGAGCTGAAGCCTCTTTAGAGAGAGCTCAGAATCTCAACCCCATGGTGGACGTGAAAGTGGACACTGAGGACATAGAAAAGAAGCCTGAGTCATTTTTCACTCAATTTGATGCTGTGTGCCTGACATGCTGCTCCAGGGATGTCATAGTTAAAGTTGACCAGATCTGTCACAAAAACAGCATCAAATTCTTCACAGGAGATGTTTTTGG